AGACCAGCCTGGACTAACAGGACCAGCCCTGGACCCAGTGACGAGAAGGCACAGAGCAAAGGGCAGTGTGAGGGCAGGGGCAGAGACTTTAGGGACTAGTCTCCATGCCAGCGAATGCCAGGACTGCCAGTACCACCAGAAGTTAGGACAGAGGCCAAGGATGGATTTTGCTTCAAACCCTGCAGAAGGCACCGACCTTGCCAACGCTTTGGGTTTGCACTGCTGACCTCTAGTAGTCTTGAGTAATTAGGTGTTTTCTTAAGCCAGCAAGTTTGTGGTGTTTTGTTACAGCAGCCACAGGAAACAAATACAGCAGCACGGGAATTCCTATTCACCCGACAGAGGAGATGCGTCACAGCACGGACTGAGGTGAGATGACGCTTAGGGTGACACCCTCCTGGCCACCTTCAGACACATTCCATCCAACGTCAAATGAGAGGGCCAAGAAAGCCAACGTACATTAAAGCACTTACGGTATCCCAGGCACAACATGGACTTATCTCAATTAATGTGACCCTTGCACCAGTCCTTGGAATTATAAATTACCACCCTCATTCTCTATTTGTGGAAACTGAGGCCCCCGAGGGACCCGGTGACTTGTACATGGCACCCAGTGGCGGCAGAATCAGGATTTGAATCCAGGTCTGCTGATTCAAGGTCAATCCCTTGGCCTTCCCAGGGTGCCCTAGATCTGAAAGAACCTTGGTGGAAATAGCCTGGTGGTCCATTCCAGGCCAAAGGCTGACACCCACAAGTTAGGGGTGGCCAGATATTTTCAGGGCCAAGTCCAAGACAGTCAAAAGCAAAACCTATTGGTATTTGTGGTTGCAATGGCACATAGATGGGGAATATTTTCCAGTCACAGCTGCTGTTGAAGTAAAAACACCCCACAGAAACAGATCACTGAAGCATCTGTCACTAGAGGAAGCTTGACATAGTACGTACAATTTTGTACAATCAGGGGGAATTCTATAAATTCCTGCCCTGCCCTCCTCCTTCTGTAGACCCCTGTTGAATGCTGGTCCTGATTTAGAAGGGCTGGACCCATAAGGTTTCTTTTCTCACTAAGGCCCCAGGCTGTCCTCCAAAGGGAACCAGACAGCCAGCACAGGGCTCAGTTGGGTCTGATTTGTTTAATGGAATTATAACAAGGTCCAGAGATCATCACCGAGGCACAAGGGTGGGCGCTGCTCGTGTCTCCAGACACATCCCAGGGCCTGACCCCTGGTTCTAGTTGAGATACAGATGCCAGGACCCTCATGGAGGAGTAAGAATGGGTCCTCAGGGTCCAATCTGAGTTGCTAAGCCTTGGTTAGTTCTTTTCCTTTTCTTTGCAAAAATATTATTGCTCAGTATATTGGGAATTGGGGGATCATTAGCTGTCAGGCTAGGACAGCCACTGGTGGCCTCCAAGCTTGCAATTCCAAGCACTGACGTAGGCACCCTGGCACCCAACTCAAGTCCCTGCTACCTCTTGGTAGAACCTTCCCAGGACTGCTTTTCATCATGATTTCTCTTCTTTCTCAACCTATGTACCTAGGAAGTCCTGTGACTGATGTGATCTTGAGGGAGGGAGTGCTAAATTGAGCAACGTCCTAGGAGGCCAGATGCCTTCTAGAGGTTTCCCATCACTTTCAAACCAGAGCAACTCAGACAATTTGGGTCTGATCTGGAAGGGCAACTTCATAGGCTGCGGGCTGGCCTATTTCTGAGAGCACATTTCCCAGCAAGTGTGGGTCATCCTCGCTGTGGGAGTGGAAAGGAGTTGTGGGTGCAGGATAGAGCACGTCCTGTCTGCCTCTGCCTGAGGTTTCTTGGCAAAGTCTGGAATGGTTACGACTACACGAGAAGAAGGTCCCAGGAGCCTCTTCTGGTGAGGTCAGGCCTCTCAAAGCGCAGCGAGGCTTGTCCCCCAGGGGTTGGGGTGGCATCTGAGTGATTTGTTCTGCCCTAGAAAGAGAGGGCATAGCAATACCCAGACCCAGCCCTGTTCAAAGCACTTGTGTTTGCTCCTTGGGAGTGAAAGACAGAACGAATAGATCTCTCTTTTGCCTCTCATCTTTGAGGTGGCCTACTGTACAGGCAACGAAATCAAGGCTCCCAGAGATGAGGCCACAGCTCTGGCTGAGCCAGCTTGCAGACAGAGACTGGTGTTGGAACCAGGCACCCTGGTCCCAGAGCAGAGGGCTTAAGGGACCTGTGTAAACACAGATGCATTCGTGGAGGGGATCCCTGGGCAGTGCAGAGGGTGAGGCAAGGGATCTCTGCAGAGAGAGGATCATAGGGAGCGGGAGCCCAGCGGCAGGCATGCTGCATGTGTGCAGCTCAGGGTGCCTGTGTGGCCCGCACCTGGCCCCTCCTCCCCAGGTGGTATGGCTGGGGGCCCCGTTCCCCCCAAAGAGGAGTCCGCAGATGAGCCAAACCACAGCCTGGGCCGTGGGGGTTTGATCTTCCCTCTGCTGCCAGAGATGAGAGAGGTCTAAGTGGCAGAGATTTACGGGGCCCGAGGGAGAAATACCCTTCCAGTGAGAAGCTCACATGAAAGCTCCAGAGTAATAACTGAGGTTGCTGAGTGTGCCAATTATGCAACAATTAAAAAGGTTGACTATCGTTTCTTTCTCCTTTCATTCTCCCAGCCACTCCCCCCACTCCACATCTGGCTGCCCCTGCAGGCTCCCCAGCAATGCTCTGGGCACAGAGGATAAAGCACACGCTTTCCCCGCCTTTTTAATTGGAGATCAAAAGTTGGAAGAAGGATTTACCCCTCAAGGGTGAGGAAGACAGGAGTGTTGTCAGACGGAGGCCCTCAGAGAGGGGACGGGGAAGGAGAAAGACACTGAGGGCAGGTTCCTATATAGCTGCCAGGTGTGGGGAGAATCTCACACAAATCATCTCATGCATGCAAGTGGTGGCCCTGTGTCACGAGTGGCAGATGAGGAAACCGAGACTCACAGAGATCACACAGCTGGTACTACTGGGATTGGATCCCGGACTGTCTGGAGCCAACGGCTTTGCCACCAGGCTATTCTGCCTCCTCACTGTAGGGTGGGATAACTTTTTCTTGTCTTTCGGTCTTGGCTTTGCCATCTGCAAAGTGGGTGCAGCCCTGGGCTGTGTGTGATAGAGCCAAGCCCTCCTGTAGGTAGATGAAAGGTGCAGCTTAGCGGCAGGATTGCTCTGTAACGCAGCCAGCACCAGCTGAGCCAAATGCGCTGCACAGCAATCCAGTGGCTAATTGAGAAAGAATTAGGCAGGGTGCCCCAGAAGTGAAGAAACAGCTGCTCGTTGGCTATGTAGAGGTGCCAAGCCACGCTCAGAGTATGTCCCCCCCACACCTGATTTCCCAGAAGAGCACACGGCCCCTGTGTTCCAGGGATGACGGCCTTGGACTCCCTTCTGCCCTGCCAGTGAATGGCGACTCCAAGCACTGCCCTGGGAGCTCTTGTGTCTCCTGAGGAAGGCTATGGAGGTCTGGGCTTTTTGAGGAAATGACCATCTCTCATATTTAGGAGCCTCCCAAGCCTAGCACATAGTAGGCTTGCGCAGTTCACATTCGTGTGTGTTTTCTCATTAACACACCCTGGATCAGCCCTGTTTATAACTGGGGAGTCACCCTGGGGAAACCAGTGCCTCCCTGGATGTTAGCTTTCTCCTATGGTGCCGGGTGAGCCAGCCTGGCCAGCTTTAACTACCCAGATGCCTATGACAGGTAGCGAGGGGGACACAGGACTGCTGTCCAGGTCATGTACAGCAGCAGGTAGAGGTTCCAATGTCCAGGAACCTCTAACCATCACCCATGACTTACTTCTCAGCAAGTGGCTGGAAGGTGAGGATGCCAGAGAGCTGAGCCTGGATCTGCTCTTTCTCCTGCCACAGGCTGGCCCCGCAGAGCAGCCGTGCTCTCCTGGGAATCCCCCCACACACAGGAAAGAGGAGCAGAGCTGTGCTCTCAGCCCCCCACCCCCTTTCTCTGCACAAGAACAAATGCTGACAGCCAAGGCCTTTCGGGATAGGCTTTGCCAAATGGTCGCTCCCCAGTCTCCCAGCATTTTCTCGCCTGCTGCTCTGGTTCTTGAAAACACCTCAGCCTAGGAGTGGTGCTCTGGGTCGTGTGTGGAAGGGGGTTCACTATCAGTGGAGGGGAGATGCAGTGAGGACAGGGGGACTGTGACCATCCCAATACTGTAAGTCCCCCAACTCAGCACTTTCTCAGTGATCTGGGGGTCCTTTTCTCCCCAGTGACCCCCTTCCAGACCTGCACCAGGTGGCAGTGGCAGCCCCCTCCCCCTTGGGAGCTGAAGGACCCCAGCTGGCACGGCCAGCCACACTTCCAGCGCCTGGCCAATTCGGCCCACTCTGCAGGAGCTGGCAGGACTCCAGAGGAAGTGACGGAGGGCTTGGGTGCATTCTGACCTTAACTGAATTCCAGGATGATGATGTGTGAATAATAAGACTTTTAAAGAGTCAACAGCTAGGGTGCTTTTTATAGTTAGGCTAGAGCACTGAGTGGGCCATCTCCCCATTAATCATTTAGCTGGTTAGATCAGATGGCAAACAATACTGACATTACTCTGTGAGATTATTCACCCTTCTGTCAGCAGCCACCCTTAAACAGATGTCAAAGCTGCCATCAAGTCAGCCCCAGCCCCACCCCCAAGCCTCCCAGGCCCTAGGCTTAATATTCTAGTTCCTCCCGCTTCTCCTTGCAGTTCTCATTTCTGTGCTGTTTTTGGTGGTCTCTGCTGGCAGGGATCCTAGGTCCCCACTCTCTGGGCCATGCTGAACTCCCTCCCGCAGGATACCTCGGCCCACCCACCTGCAGGAGGAAGGGATCCATGCTGAGTGACATTGCAGAGTGACATTCCAGGGAAGGTAGCCCAAGGCCCAATCCCAGTGCCCAGTCCTGCTGGCCCTTCCCAAGCCCACGTCCACTCCAGGATCTGGGGGTCTCATTGCCAGGCGGGACTGAACTTGAGCAAGACCCCCACACACACACTCACAGTGTCTCCAGATTGCGCAGCCCCTCGAAGCCGTGGGTCCCCAGATGCTGGATGCGGTTGTTATGCAGATGCCTGAGTGGGAAGGAGAGGCCGTCAGAGTGAGCTCCACCGTGGCTGGGCCCAAGGCAGCCGAGAGCACGCGGGAGGGCAAGAGGCCCAGCGGAGGCAGGAGCTGGACAGAATGACCCCAGGAGCCCCACCCTTTGCCTCCAGGGACAAGCAGAATGGCCAAGACAGATTTCTGAAACCACATTGCGAGGGCTGCACTTCCCATTGAAGAAGGGAGAGGACAGCCCGGGCCAAGGCAAAAGCAAGCACTAGGAGGCAGACTGGTCCACAGGCTCTTCCGCGATGGCTGAGCCTGTTCTCATGGCTCTGCTCCCTAGGACCCGGCCGGCCTGACGAAGTGGCCAGACATCCTTAGGGAAGCCAACAGCAAACCGCTGCAGACAACATATAATTAAAGGCTAAGCTTTCTGCAGCAAATGGAGAGAGCTGTGGACAAGCTGAGAGAACGGGAGGGGTGCAGCCAGAGGAACCAAGGGAGGCTTCGCAGAGGTGGTGAGCTAGAGCAGGGCCTTGAGGGGCAGGTGAGGGGCACAGCAGAGGGAGGGCACCCCAGGCTGAGGGAGGAGTGAGTACCAAGGAGGGGATCTGGGAGGGAGCGCAGCAGGTAGGGAAGAGCTTGGCCAGAGCAGGTGTGGGAGAAGGAAGAGATCAGTCAGGAAGAGATGTCTGGGATAAATAGCTAGCCGAAAATAAGTCACAGGATTTTCTTCTCCTAACTCCTAGTGAAAAAGCCCCAGCAAAAATCAGAGCCAAATATCACAAGTAGCCACAAAGCCCCCACAAAAGGGCACAGCCTAGTACAAATACACTGCGAAAATTGGTGGCCAGGAGAATATTCTGGGCCTCACCAACCCCCTCCCCAGCAAAAAATGAACTTGTGAGAAAACAAAATAAAAGGTTCTCTCCTAAGTCCTTCATATCCAAAGCAGTAACTTTTAGGTAGTCTTATTTTTCCTCCCTACTTCTGCCTTCCAATAGGAGCAGGTGAAATAGTTAAATAAAGGCTCCAGGCTCCTCAATGCATGGGGGAAATGGCTCAGAGCCAAGGATATTCATGGGCAAGGGAGAAAACCCAACATTTAATACATCTGGACAGAGGCAGCAGAGCACAAAGACTGCGTACCGCCTGAGAGCATCTTTTCCAGTCTCCACCCCACGGAGGTACAGAAAGGGGACAGAACCTAAGTCACCCTCACACTGCAGCTTCGGGGGAGAGGGAGAGGAGCTCGAAGACAGTGCAGCTAGAACAAGGACACCGCTCCCCAAACACAGGAGAGAGGGAGGGAGAGAGAGAGAGAGACAGAGAGAGATCACAGGGAAACTGTGAAAACCTACAACTGGGCAGCAGGGGGAGATGAAGGGAGGGTGCAGCCAATAGGCAAAGTTCCAAACCTAGACGAAAACATGACTTATCGATGAGGAACAGAAGGAAATTGATCAGAAGTGCTTTCTGCTACAAAGCAATCCTAACATGATTTCAAAACCAAAGCTTTTTAAATGAAAGAAAAACGACTTTATAGGTTAAGAAAACAAATTGAGGACCAAAAGTGCATTATTTCAACACTAGTCAAGGACCGGGGATTTAGCTCAGTGGTGCCGCCGCCTGCCTTGCAGGTGCAAGGTCCTGAGTTTGATCCCCAGTACCAAACAAACAAGCAAACAAAAAACCTAGTTAATAAATTTGAAAAAAGGAAGAATGTAGATACTGTTGAGAGTTGACCTGATATCAGGGAGAGGAGCTGAGATGTTCACAGTGAACATAGCAGAATGAGACAGAGGCTGCTCAGTGTGAGAGTCATAAAGGCGGCTGAACAGGGTCAATGGATGTCTCTGAGGGAGAGAATCCAAAAATACGACCAGAGACAAGGTCTGAAACAATACCAAAAAAAAATTATCTGGAAGCAACAAAGAATAGAACCTGCAGTGCAAAAGCGTACATCGCACTAGGAAAAATTTGATGCAGAGATATTCTACACTGTGAGAACAGAGTTATTAAAGTTCAAGAATTTAAAAACATCTTCGGGTAGAAAAAAGAAAACTCAGGCTGGGGATTTGGCTCAGTGGTTCTGCCACCTGCCTCGCAAGTGCAAGGACCAGAGTTCGATCCCCAGTACCAAAAAAAAAAAAGAAAGAAAACTCAGGCTGGCCTCCTGAGGCTGCTCAGATGTAAAGCAACAGGCAAGACAGCCCTAGCATGGATGGGAGAGATGGAGGTCTTGGAGTCTGGGACTTAAAGCTCTCGTCTGTCTTTCTCATCCCTACCTGCTCCATTCAGGAAGCACCCCTACCTCCAGGGGGCTTCTGATCTACGGCAGGAGGGAAAACACAGCCCCTTGTAAAAGGTTCTCCCTTACTGAGGGGTTTTTATTTTCCCTGTTTCTTTCATACCGCTGACCTAACTCTTTCTATTTCCTGTTGAACAACTGTCTTCATTCTCCACCCCTCGCCCTCCGCCATCACTTCCCGCCCTGATCATCCCAGCATTCTAGAAACCCAGTGCCGGGCCTCCAAGTCCCTCCTACAATTACGCCTTCCAGTAGCCCAGCATGGGACAGGCGAGGGGGCTTCTAGCGTGATGCAGAGACAGGATTGTATACAGGACACCACTGCCCCATCTGTGCAGCAGCCATAGTGGGAAAGAGTGTTCCACACATGTCAGAGAGGGTCCCACGCACGTCTCCGACGAGAGCATGGGTTGTCTGAAGAAAGCACCTCCCCAGCCTGCTCATAGCTCCAGACGGGCCTCAGTCCACCCCCTTGGTTTTCACCAAGCTTCCTTCTTGCTTCCTGTCATTCCCTGTCTTCCTTCTCTGGCTCTCGCGCCTTCCACAGCTCCCCCACATCCCAGACAGTGTCCCCCGGACTCTCCTCCCTTTCAAGATCACCCCCTCCTGCTCCATGCCATGAGTGAAGGACGAAGGATGATGTTTCAACCTATGCAAAGGGCCCAATTCCACTTCCGCTTTGCACTTGCACCAGTGCATTTTGGTTTTTTTGTGGTCCCTTGTCTTTCCTCATACCCAGGGGAGCCCAGATATCTGGATATCTAATGGGCCCAACTCTCAGGCCAGCTCCCTGCCTTCCAACCACACCTTTAAGTCACTCATGATTCCTTTCCTCCTTGGTCTTCTGCCCTTGAAAACCTCTAACTCAGATTAATTCTCTCTTTCAAACACCACTCACAGGCATGCCTGCCTGTCCATCCTTCCTGCCACCTCCCTAAACTGAATTTTGACACATAGGAGCCTTTGTACTGACCTTCTCTGGTCTCCTCCTGTTCCCATCCATCCTTCACATTAATCTTCTTGAAAGGCCCCTCTTTAACCCGGCTTGACAACCTCCAACCTCCCCAACCCCAAAGACAACAGCCAAACTCCTTGCTCTGACATTGTGAGTCCCTGCCTTTCCAGCCTCCTCTCGCACTCCCTGCCTGAGGACCCTCAGATTCAGCTAGACTTGCCTATTCACTGGCAAGCGAATGCCCCTGGCTTCCCCTCCAGGGTGTGGAGCTGTCTTTTTTCTTTTCTTTTTTTTTTTTTTTTTTTT